TGAAAATAATATACTGATTATATTAATATAATTCCATATATTAATTTCCTTCATAATATTATAAAGTAGTTGTATCACACAAGAAACAAGTCAGAAAAACTAGTTTAGTTGATCAAAATATGAAATGCGTCATATGAAATAGCTACTTGTGTATTCTTCAAGCACAAGTGAAAAATCCAAAATTCCTCTGAAACAAAACACAACCAAAGAGAGACACCATCAGAAACAGGAAAAGTCAAGCTGACTTACATATTTCTATTGTTTTTGGCTGTCAAAAGGCACATTAACAGCAGAGAATAGACATTATTTAATATATTATCAACCCAGTATATACTTCTGCACTATCACTGGTGAGTATTTAAAATAGATATTTGAATAAAAGATAACAAATTGATAACAAATTTCATAAAACATACCTTTGAAGATAAAGAGCAGATAAACATTTAAAAATTCATGGCAAATGCAAGATTCAAACTGTGTTAGTTTTCCCTGAATACAGAAAAGGCCGCAAGAACTAGAAGAACTGAGTCTGAGTTGAAAGCCAGTGTTGTCACACACAAATATAGTTAAGATGATCACAAGGACAAGGGCAGATTCCAAATTTGCCAATACTGCTTAAAAATTAAGGTACAAGACCTTTCTGTCTGATTTAAGGCCTTCTCAGCTCCTGTAAGGTCTATTAAACTTTCAGTCATTAAAAAAATCCAACCCAGGATCCCTCTGCCCCCCTTTTCAGGATACCTTACATCAAAATGCAGGTGAGAAACTGTCTCGAGAACAGACCTGAGAGCCTTCAGCCTTGAAGGTGGGCCTGCCTTGTTTATGAAGTGCTAGATTAACAAACTATTTTCAGCCACATATTTTTCAGTCGAATATGAAACTTTCACTGGTAAGCACTTTTGTTTATTAAAGTCAGACACTATAAAAATATATTATTCATATATATTGTTTATTAAGCATTGCATTATTTATGTAGTCCTACTTATAGCAAAGCTGGAAATTCTACCCACACCTGGTGCACATTTAAAGACTTTTGCTGCTGTTCTAAATAACAGCCCAGGAAAGAATCTGCATCAAGAGATTTTGGAAATGAGTGGCGTATACCAAAGAAATTCCTTTCACTATGCTCTAGGCATCATCCTTGAATTAAGGAAGAGAATGTCTGCTCTGCGTCAGATCTGGCTCCTTGAGAAGATGTAAACAGGAATCATAGAGATTCAGATGTGTGTGCTCTTTGAGAACCTGACGTGGTGTGGACACCCTTCATGATGTTCCAGGCAATCCAGAAAAGAGCAATTGCCTTTTCTACTAAATTTGCTTGAGTATACGTCAGAAGAGAAGTACCTTAAAGGACAGCTTCTACCATATAGCTGTCACAGCCTGCCTCTCTGATGGCTTGACAACCAAGCGGCTTGCCAATAAGTGTGCTTATCCATACGGTTTACTGTCTCCATAGAGAGACAGTATGATGACAGTAAGATTTCACAGAGAGAACACATCTCCACTGGAACAGGGGCGCCTACCTTGGGTTTTGAGAACAGCACCTAAGTTGCAAGCCCTCCTCTGAAGGTTGTAGTTGCTAAGTACAGGCTATCCTATACTTGCCAGCAGTTAGACTAGAAATTACCACAGAGAGGAATGAAAATCCATGGTCTGCTTTATGCAAAATAGCCCTAATACTGGGAAAAGCATTTCACTGACATCCAAAATTAGCATCATCCCCTTAACATCCATGTTCTGGCTGAGCATGTTAGCATTTTTATCAGGGAGAAAGTGTTAAACAAAGTCACTTCCTTCCTCTCTGCTCTGAAGGGAGCTCCTCAATTCAGTGGGAGAAGTCATGGAGGAAGCAAGCCAGCAAAAACTACATCGGACATAAGCAGACATCTACTTTAAAGTAACGCAAACGTTATTACCTCTTTTAATATCCTACTGCAGCTTACCCTACTAGGGCAGGAAAATCTATACAGCCTAACAAAGGATGCCAGATGGAAAATTCCACTGAGTTTAATTAGCTCACTGCTATTCCTGGATGACTGATACTGATGCAACTGTAAGATGGGGATTTTTTTTCCTTTTTCCTAACATGAATTTTTACTTTCGTTCTTAAAGGTGTAATTGCTGCTTAATGAAAAAAAAAATAAAAAATTACAAGATAGGAAGTAGTGCTTTGATTTCAGCTAAGAAAACTGAAATAAACGCTATTTTCTCAGGCTACAGCAGATACTTAAATGAGCAGTCTGGTATTTTTTGTGCATACTACTGCATGACTTATAATGGTTTCATAAGTTTTACATAAAATTAGAAGAAAAATAGTAAAGACTGAAGGTAGTAAAGAGAGTAGAGTCAGACAGACACATGAGCAAAGCTGAATGTCTAGAGAATGCTGAGAACCTGTAGAAAAATATTATTGCCTGAAGACAGTGATTAGTAAAACCAAAATGAACATCAAAGTGGGAAAAGAAAAAAAAAAATCAAAGGCTTGTGAAATTCATATGAAGAACAAATGAGGCAGCCTCACTCAACAGCAGATAACAGCTGACAAATCAGCTAGATTCCCAAGGATTAGGATGAAGGCATTTTATATTTATTTTGTGAAAGGTTAAGTAATGTTCCCATTTACCCGTGGCAAAAAATATACCACACAGAGAGGCTTTCCCAGGCTACCTTGAAATTAAAAAGAAAAAAGCTCAATTCCTCATCCAGCACCAAAATACACTTCACTTTGGCTTTGCTTTTCCTATTTTAATATTAAACCTTTCTCTTCAAAAGAAAGAACCAATACGGTTCAAAACAATTACCGTACTGTCAGCTACTCACACCAAAAGTTACACCTGAGTGTACAAAGTATGAAACCAAAAAACTTGCATTCCATTGCCCAACAGACTCGACAAGAAGATACATTCACTACCCTTCGCTGTTGGTCTCCACAAGAAGAATCCTTGTGTCTCTCACTTTCTGTTACTGCATTGCATGGTGGATGGCTCTTATGTCACCTAAAGCCTCCTTTTATATTCTGTGAAAACCAAGAGCACTCTCAAACAAAATTTCACTTGAAAGCATTTTACATTCTCCCAAAAGAGGAGACTTAAAACATAGAGTTAGAACAGACTTTCTGCTTTCCCTTTTTTTCCATCAAGAAAATTTCCAGCAAATTTTGTATTTTCCGCAGCGCAAGTTACACGCATATGATTTTCTAGGCTGGGAGATACATTAACTCCCTCATGTAGCAAACTACAGAAGTCCTTCTCAACTCTTGAGCTACCACAGCTTCAAGTGGAAACTAAAAACGTGTCACTGCTCAAATTTACTTTACCACATCCACGAAAAATCTAGCCGTCTACAAACAAAAGGGTTTTGGGGATAATCCCCTCACCATTCAAACATAATCACAAAGAACTCTGTATTTATAATTTAACAGAAAGCACTCCCATGATCTATCTTCTTTTAACATGATGGAGTGCAACTGATGCTGAAAGACAAAGTTGCTCACTAACATATTTGCTCGTATCTGCTCACTGCAGGGGGGTTGGGCTAGATAACCTCTAAAAATCCCTTCCAACCCAAAACATTCTATGATTCTATGATCTGGTCACTATGACCAAGCATCAGCTGTGACGATGTCCGACAAAGCACACAGCTGAAGAGTAGTGCTGAAAAGAGCAACTTGCTCTGAAGAGTAAGTCAAGGCTGAAACCTAGCTTGTGGAAGAAGGATGGAGGGAAGGCAGGATGGGAAGGCTGTGATCAGAAAGGGGCAGAAGCAGTACATGCAGTAACATGGAGAACTGCAGACTCACAGAATGCAGTCTGTAGATGAGAAGGACCCAGAAGAGTGAGCAGATGGAAAAAACAAGAGCAGGACTAACTAGATTTAGACCTATTGTAGGTGGGAGAAGCATGCTGGAGGGATGTTATAGAAAGTCAGAAAGAGGGCGAAACACAGGAATAGGGAGCAAGAGAAATGGGAACACTGACAAGAAGCCAAGATGATGGGAAACATGTACAGAAAGTGTGTGTACTCTAGAGGGACAGAGCTGCTGAAGAACCAGATGAAAGAGGTATCTATTTGTATATGAGTAGTCCTGAAACAGTTCAATACTGCTTGCAATAAATAAGGTCTATAGAAACAGAAAAATTGACTTCAGTAATGAAAGAGCTTCAGGATTGAATTATCACAACAACGCTTCACAGGCAACCTTTATTCTGACACTTCTTAAATTCTGAAAGCTAACCATAGCAACTTAATAAAGTTATTTTAAAGTAATTTCTGCCATATTTTTGAAAGTTTTGAAAACCTACATTCTTTCTCACATTCTATTTTACAATTAGCAAGGATAAAGAGAATAATCACCAAAAAAATTCTAATTAAAGATTGTGGAGGTAAGGACAGAAAAGATAATAGAATCAGAAAAGATAATACAATCTTAATACAGGAAGAAGAGATCCTATACACATTTCATAAGTAGTGCCCCATGAAACAACCACCTCCACTCTGCAATCGAAAAGCACAAACACAAAGGCTGAGAAGAATAATTCAGTTAAATACCCAGAAGGTCTATCACCTGCAAACAATTAAAAATCTGGATTTGACTAACAGAAGAAACTATTTTACCTGAAGTTTGTTCCAAAGCTAATCAAGCTACAAAACAGTGAACAACGCCATCGCTTCAAATAATTTGAAACCTTGATATTTAATCTTCTATCTTAAAGATTTTACAAATCCAAGTTAATAGAATTATCAGAACATGGGATGTTTTAAAGCGCTTTGCTATTAGCTTACAATCAGTAAACAAAACACCAGAAAAAGAACAAACTCATGAAATGAAGGGTGTTGATTTTAAACTGTAAAATATTTTTGGTGAAAACCACCCAAAACCTATGCAGTGATGAAGAGATAAATATTTGCAAAATTTTTAACAGCATGAATTAACACTTTAAAAATGGACAATGTGTGAATAGCTCCAAATATTTAAATATGCATATGTACAATTTTCTTACCAGCTACTGGTAAATCCAGCTTTGCTCGTTTCAATTCTGATATAGAATTTTGGAGCTGGTCTATTACAAAGTCATCTTCATAGAAGAAATCCTTGGCTAAAGACTCCTGCAGAAATTCTACAAGCTCTTCCATTTGTAATTTCATCAGATGCTCTATATAAGAAGAAAACATTATATGTTAAAATACCTTGACTATGAACATTGGAAAAATGTACATAAGACATAAGATGCTTTTGTTTTTAAAGTAGAATGAAAACCACTTGTCAATTAAGCAGCTAACAGAATTCTATACTAGAAATCTATACAATGCATTAAAAAAAAAATCACTTGCAAATCAGCATGGAAATGCTTTCTACTTATCATTCTCTACTTAGGACAATGTTTTCCAAGAAAGGGCATCTTCAGAAAACTAACTACAAGTCACCTTCCTTCAGCCTTCTTACATCCAACAGCTTCAGGCCTTTATTTTTCAGCCTGCATCCTCAACCTACAAAACAGTGCTGTAGATCTGTACAACATACATCATCTCTCTTATTAAGAGCTTTGAAAAGCAGTAAAACATTTTAAAAATTGATAGTTACCGTATCCTCATTCACAACTGAATTAACTTCCAATGAAATGATGATGGCAGTTCAGACTTCAGAACCATTGCTTCAGGCTCTCTGAAAATTCAGGTGCTTTTTGCTACTTCAATCAAATTCAGGTCATACTTTGAAAGTCATTTTACAGTTATCAGATTATTCTTCTTTCCCCTTGTACACAGCAGTAAGGCCATGTTTCCCATACAAGCCTGTTTGGCTTGCAATGCTGTAACTGCATACTTACGTAGCTTCTTTAAGCATATGTATGCCATCAAAAGTTACAGAAGGTATAATTTCTATACAGAAACCATAAAAACATATTTTTGTACTGTAATAAAAATGCTTTTGGCATGTATTCCTCAAAGGCACTTTGACTGGATAGCAATACCACGAATGTTTCTAAGGGTAGAAAAGAGATTGGAAAACAAATCGGAATCCGTCTTCTGCCACCTTCTCTGCCAGTCCTCTAATCCCTTCTCTGCTGCCGTAAGGTACTCTTGGTGTTTTGATCGTGCAGGAAGTTGCTATGCACTTGCTAAACAAGCAGACCTGCACTCGAACTTTTTCCTCAGGTCTTTTCCATAAAGAGTGGTGAATAAAAAGAATTTTCAAGTAGATGTCTATTTGCAAATAAAGATAAACCAAAACGCTAAGCTTAACAATTTGCCTCTGAATGTTTAGCTTTCTTAAGTACAGTAATTAAAAAAGTAACCTTTCTCATTTTTCAAAGCAGTTTATGAACAAACTAATGAATATACCCCAGCGAGACATCGAGGTAGTATCACCACAGTTCAAGGAGGGTAAACGAGCAAGCAAATTAAGACATAATTCTGCAGCTCTCTGTGCAGACCTCTGAATTTACATAGAGTTAAATGACTTCATTAAGAAAGCTGAAGTCCTAAACCTGATACAGTAAGACTGTATCAAACTTGAGCTACAAGGTATCATCTTGAGAAATGCTGAAGTATATTTAGAAGCTAACATCCATCCTCAAAAGCTTTTTGGATCTTTTGGAACTTAAGGTGCTGAATCACTTTCGGGAACCGGGCATAGATGCTTTGGACAATTCTTCTGTTCAAAATCTCAAATTTTACTTTATCTGAAGGCAAGAGATGGAAGAGAAGGCCATCCAGGCAGACTACAGAAATACTGAATTTTAATTACATTCCTGGACAAACAATGGTATAAAGAGACACCTACAGTTGTGATTCCTCATTGCTGAGTTGTTTGCTGATAGAGTTTCAGGTATTTAGTGGCACGTTCTGGATTCGTTGTGCGCTTTTTTGATTAATTAAAATCCTGTAGGGGCTAACAAACCATTTCCAAACTGTGGAACTACAACATTTTGTCCCCATTATTTAAACAGCAATGCAGCTCATCTCACATCGGTGTTTAATTAACTTTCTTACCGTAATAAATATTTTTCTTTTGCAATCACACTGTATTGGGTCTGGCTGAGATGGAGTTAATTTTCCCCATAGCAGCTCTCATAGTGCTGTGCTTTGTACTGGTAGCTAGAAAAGGTGTTGGTGACACACCAGCGTTTCGGCTACTGCTGAGCAGTGCTGGCACAAAGGCAAGGCTGTCCCCCAACATCCCCCCTGCCCCACCCATTAGACTGGGGTGCGCAAGAGGCTGGGAGGGGACACAGCCAGGACAGCTGACCCAAACTGACGAGGGGTATTCCATACCGGACGATGTCTGCTCAGCAATAAAAGCTAGGAGAAAGGGCGGGGAGGGGGGGATTCATTATTATGACATTTGTCTTCCAGAGCAACTGCTACACGTACTGAAGCGGTGGAATGGCAGTGTTAGGGTAACGGTTGGACTTTATAATCTTAAAGGTCTTTTCCGACCTAAACAATTCTATGATTCTATACGTCCTGCTTCCCAGGAAGTGGCTGGACATTGCCTGCTGATGGGAAATAGGGAATAAATCTTTCTGGTTCCTTTGCTTCCATGTGCGGCTTTTACTTTATTAAAACGCCTTTATCTTGACCCACAAGTTTTTTTCCATCTTGTTTTCTCCCCACCCCTGTCCTGCTGAGAAGGGGAGTGATAGAGCGGCTTGGTGGGCACCTGGTGTCCAGCCAAGGTCAACCCACCGCACACACACACATTAATAAAGCAGAGATTTTCATCTTTTTGTGCATAAGGAAAGAAAAATACCTGTCAGAAATAGCATAAGGAAAATGGGAAACAAGGATTTTCACACGAGGTCAAGCTACAGAAAATAAGAACAAAACCAGCTGAATCTCCATCTAGCATTCAAATATTTGAGAGATTTCTTACTTCTGTGTAGTTTCAGAATTGTGTAAGACATAGCAGTGAGAATCCGCTCTCCTTCAAGTATGTAGATATCCCATATCCTGAGGCTTAACGTAAAGGGAGTCTGCAATGACAGAATCAGGCAACACCGTGAAAACAGTCTGTCCCAAGCTACAATTAAAAACAGAAATACAAAGTGAAAAACATACTCACACGATCAAGGAAACACTGGAAAAACCACTTTGTTGTGTAAAAGCTAGTGGACATATCCTGGGAGTCCTGTAAGAAACACAGATGTTTCAAAATACTCACAAAGATCAAGTAACGCCTTGCACTGTCCATGAAAAAACATTTTCACCTTGAGGACAATGTACCCAATATTCACCATAAAGAATTAATTTAACTACATGAAACGCTATTACTTCAAACCAACAAATACAATTTCTGTCATTTATAGTTTTTATTCATCAACCTCACCACCTGAAGGAACATGCATTTGGAGATGTGGAGGTATTAACACATCTTAGACCTCCATCTTATTCCTGGGACAGAAGTAGTAGAGGATTAAATCCTCTCTCAAGAAAATAAATCAATATTCTGGAGCAACCAAAGTTCATGCACCGGGTCCATTTAGTCTTTCATTTCTCTACAGCAAGGCTGCCAATTCATGCCAAAGGCTGAAAAGATTTTGTGACTATCTACCAGAAACCAGCCTAAAACAATCAAATTCTTCAAACACAGGACCTCAAAACAGCACTTAGACTGATAAGGAATTTCATTCCTTAGTTAAGGGGCCTAATTTCCCCTGGAACACAGATTGTCCATCTGGTATGCCACCCCATTCAAAGATGGCTAAAGCTTCTTTGCAGTTTCATGGAGGAAAAGCCAAAGTAAAAGCTGGAAAGTTAAGAAATTCTGAATTTTAACTTCGGGATAACATCATATGCTATGCTTGCCAAATTCAACTTTTCCAAAAGTGTCAAGTATACAAACACTGAATGAGCAACAGACCAAATCCCTCTGGTTTACCTGTAGGGCTTTACCTTTGTCTTTCAGTGAGTTAAAATGGGCTCATCTTAGTGATACATTCACAGTAAGAAATGAAGAAAAATAACTGCTAATATAATTGAAATAATCTTTATGAGTTTTCCATTTTGAGAGTCTTTGAAAAAAGCAGACAGAACAAAAAAAAAAAACTTATTTTGAGGTTTTTCCAACCTGTAAGAATGTCCATCAGCCTACTAAAAGATAGGTAAAATGGAACATGCCTTTCCCTGATAAAAAAACCTGATTGCCATTAAATTTAATGTCAATAAACTAATTCACACAAAAATAGAACTAAGTTCTGATTTAAAACTGAACAGAAAATATATAACAAACATACAGAGAAAGTGTTTTCTGGGTCCCTCTAAGTGGCCAAGAACTCCCTCAGAAGGGAGCTATCAAGGCATTTTATTTAAATTAGCTTTTTCAGATACTGAAGCGACTTTCTGCACTTTTCTGAAACTTTCAAGTGACCCAAGGCAGGGGAGGAGATGGGGGATGGATGACAGAAAAAAAAAAAGTTCTTGATTATTAAATGCAGTAATAAGAGGTATATAAACAATATACAAATTTAATAGTGTGCCAACCTCAGGTTGTATCATGTCGATCACACATAATTATTTTTTTTGATTTTTGAAAGTATAAGGGCTTTTTACCATTTACTGCTAAAACCAGCCAATCTTCTTGGGATTATTCTACTTTTTTGTTCCTGAAACATGGTAACCTCAAAAAATGAGAATACGAATATATTTCTAAACAAGAATCATCATCATCTTGCCTGTACTGTAAAATCTAAATCCACAACTTTCATTTCAGGGTCAAATTAGTTACAGAACTGGTCATCTTTTTTTTTTTTTTTTTTTCTTCTTTAAATATAACACAATCATCTTGCATGACTAATTTTGACTTGACCTTTTAACAGAAGAGTGGTTTCTTTCCTAACCAGAGCTGCCTAATTCCATGTTATGAGCAGGTCTTACAGCATGTATTAAAAAAGACATAAAATTCTATTTTATAATACAACAGGCGTACATTAGATGCAATTCATCATTGCCAAGGTGCTAGTCTGTTTCCATATTGTCTTTTTTTTCTTTTTTTAAGGAGATAAGCATACTAAACAGGGAATAATATAGTCCTGGGAAGGTAATGTTTGTAAGCAGCTATCACTCTTAGAAGATGCTGCTGCAGCTGAGTATCTCTTGCACTACCTTTTAAGACTTGGAGATGGATTCTGCAGAACAATGTGATTCTAAGAGAAAATTCGTGATGACTATTGGAAGGGCATTTTTCTCCCATTAGAAAAATAATTTGCTCCTTAGAATAAATACAGCCAGTATTAGCAAAAAAAAAAAAAAAAAAAAAAAAGAATATATTATTTCTTATTTAAGAGTATTGGAAGAAAGAACACCCAACATTTAGCTTCATGAAAATACTACAGCCTACGTGCAGATTTTAAAAGGACCATTAATTCCTCCTTTTATAAAGGTTATTTTTTAAACAGAGATTAAAACTGGTTGGTTGCAAAGTCACCTCTGTCCAGAGATGAGCCACAAAGCTCTACATACAATTAACTCTTGATAAAACGTTTTAACATCAGCTTGCTATATAGCAGTTTGCACAAGGCCATGTAGAAGGACCACATATTTTCCTTAACTCAGAGGTCAAAAGTGAGGTAGACACACAATTTAACTACTTTTAGGATCCAATTTTATCGTAACTCTTCCAAGATGCACCACAGCTTTGTCTATAATGAAAGCAACAGCACTTCTGCCTCTTAAAACTTTGCATTTTTTTTTTGAGGTTTGAGGTATTCTTAACCTAGTGGGTTAACCTGAATTGAAACAAGGTAGCAAGCTGTAAATTAGGATTGCTTTTGTTGTGATATCAATACTTACCATATGCTGCTTAAGTTTGGACAAAAATTTTTTCAGTATTTTGTCATGATGTTCTTGAAACCTCAACAGTTTTGGAAAACCAGGAATAAAAAAACCTAAGAAAAGAAGTTGACCATGTAACAGGTGTATGGACTCTAAAAATTACATTAAAAAAAGGCGTTCAGAGCTCTGACAACACTATCCTTCTATAAGACCACTGGATCCGAACAGATATTCATAGCAATATTATGATGTCTACATACAAATATGCACATACTCCTGCCTAAATGACTACAGCAAAACATCAATACATTCCCTTAGTGACTATCATGAAATTAGTAATGGTAGGTGACAGCAGATGCTACTAGTATACTCACTATAAGATCATGGGGAAAACCAAATTTATAATTATTCTTTAAAAACAAAACAAAAAACCCCCACAACCCATACCAACTAAAACTTTCAAAAGCAAAAAGACATAAATAGGGATTATGCCCAGCAAATTCATGATAGAAGGGCAAACAGCATAGGCAGCTACTAGAACTGTCTGCACTGAAGAAAAGACCATAAAAGGGTTAGAGGGATATTCTGCCAAGAAAAACATGAATATACAGTAAAAAGTAAAGATTGTGAACTTGCACAATTGAAACTAAGGGCATATTTGTCATGGTTTAACCCCAGCCAGCAGCTGAGCACCACCCAGCCACTCACTCATTTCCCCCTGGTGGGATGGGAGAGAGAATCAGAAGAGTAAAAGAGAGAAAACTCATGGGTTGAGATAAAGACAGCTTAATAAGTAAAGCAAATGCTGTGCAAGCAAAGCAAAGCGAGGAATTCATTCACTGCTTCCCATGGGCAGGCAGGTGCTCAGCCAGGACAGCAGGGCTCCATCACGTGTAGCGGTGTCTTGGGAAGACAAATGCCATCACTCCAAATGTCACCCCCTTCCTTCTTCTTCCCCCAGCTTATATACTGAGCATGACATCATATGGTGTGGGATATCCCTTGGGTCAGTTGGGGTCCACTGTCCTGGCTGTGCCCCCTCCCAGCTCCTTGTGCCCCCCAGCCTCCTCGCTGGTGGGGTGGGATGAGAAGCAGAAAAGGCCTTGGCTCTCTGTCAGCACTGCTCAGCAGTAATGAAAACATCCCTGTGGTATCAACGCTGTTTTCAGCACAAATCCAAACCATAGCCCCATACCAGGTACGGTGAAGAAAATCAACTCCAGCCCAGCCAAAACCAGCATGGTATTAAAAAACTTGAATACTTCCAGTGATGATACACAGGAAAAGGAAAGCACTAAGATCCCCTTCCAACTGAGTTATATGCAGAGTTAAAAAAAGGCTCAGAGCGAACACATAATACTAGCCAAAAAGCTTGAAATGTAGAAGAAAGCTAGCACAGCTACACAGCAGGAAAAGAAACCACTCAAAGAAGACCCTTCAAAAAGCTGAAGCTCTGTTCAGATCAGAAAATCAGAGATGATCAAACACTGGCAGTATGAAAATGTGAAAAACAAGCCTCTCCCAAAAAAACAACTTACAAAAATTACTAATAGATCTGTTTTCAAACACCTTGGAAGAAGAAAGCCTGACAGAGAATTTGTAGGTTCAACAGTCTGCAAAGATATTTAGAAGTGCTCAGAGAAGATAAAGTCAAGAGTAAAAATAAGTTACATTTCTGCATGGAAGACATTGGGGATGTTCTCAAGCCAGAACCCTAAACGGCTCTAAAAGAACTCAAAGATCAACTAACTGAAATATTGATTCTATGAAACCTCTTGCTTAAAATACCAGGAGCCCGGAAAGTGGCTGACATGATGTCAGCTTTTCTTAAACTGGTGTTCAGCCCAATATTCAGGCCAATACTCCAAGAGGAAACCAACAGAAATAATAATAAAGGAAGCTGGGTAAGTGGACACCCAAATGGATGCAATGCACCAGAGAAGAATCAACATGGTTTTTACAAAGAGAAGTCAAGTCTCTTAACTCTACTGGGTGTCCCTGAAGAAATCAGTGAGCATACAGGCACAGAGAGCAGTGGATATTGCCTATTTGACTTTCCAAAGGTACTTAATAGGTTCTATAACCCAAGTAGCTTCATCTCTTCAGTCCACCTCCTAAAGCAGCTAATCCAGTGAGTTAAAAGATAGTAAAATAAAAAAGACAAAAAGGCTTCACCCATGAAGTTGCATAGGAGTTTGTGCTGGGACCTAAGCTACTTGACACGTGCCATGTGTCCACACTATGAACAATCAGTTAAGTCCTAGCCACCCTGAAAGAGTATTGGAAAATCCAGACAAGGCAAGAAGTCATAGAAATTATCAAAGTACACAACCACTTCTGTGTCAAGAACAGATTAAAACACTACGTCTGATCAGCCTGAAGAAAAGAAGCACCCAAGGGGAAATACCACCAAGTGCCAGCAGTGAAGAGGTTATAAACATTCACTGTCTTCTCCACAGCAAAATCCAGAGAGCACCATCGAGAAACCATCATGACAGAGCCAAAACAAAAATGGAAGAACACAATCCATAGTTAAATGCAATGAATTATTTAAGGAAGAAAAGTCTACTGGAGACTATTAAAGGCAAAACATCCATCTCAAGAAGTTCCTCCAGAAATTCTTTCAGCCTCTAATACATTTTCCAGAAGGTGTTGATCTCTGGTTGCCTTATTCTCAGACATTTCACTGAGCATCTGTTACTGGTCACTACCAGAGACATGACACTGGGTTAAATAGGTCTGGTACAGCAATTCCATAGTCTTTGAATTAAAAAAGGCTACCAAAAAACCCCAACATTTTTTACTTGTAAATGATAGGCAGTATGGAAATTGGAAGAAACATGGACCCACAGAGCACAGGTCACTTAAAAAAAAAAAAAAAAAAAATCACTAAAAAAAGTCCCAAACCAAAAAGAAAGCTCTTTCTAGTCTAGTTACCAATTATGTAATTCAGTACATGGTCACTAAGCTGCAAGATTTACTATCTCAGATTCACACAGGTTTAGTATTTCATAGATACAAATGCACATTCTATCATACTTAAATTTCAGGTTTCGTATTTGGAAATTTTACATATATAGGCAAGGTGTTAGGGTTTTTTTTCTTAATGTAAACAGTGAATGACCACATCAAAGCTAATTAGCCACCACTAATAACATTTAAAGGTGCTTTTTCCATGGAAAGTTGCTCTTTCAGTTTATATATACCAACTGATTATCTTGAATTTTTAAGACTATGAAAGCTCTTTCTGTTTGGGCTTTTAAAAAATCTAAAAAACCTGAATCATCTTCAGAGTCAGAAACCTGTATTTTATTGTTTAAAGACTTCACACCTTCCCTATAACATGAAACATCAGAGAGGCCAAATTCATCCCCTGACTTCAAGTGGTGTTATACTAGAAATTAGTCTGACTATGTACCTGAGACACATGGGTTGCACCGGAAAAAACTTTTCAGGTTTCCAGATCACAGGTAGAAGAGAAAAACAGATGAAAAACCTTGTCTATGGGGTGGAACTTTTAACCATCCTACTTGTGTCAATATGATTCTAATTCAATTACTCCTCCCATCCCTATAATTTCCAGAGAGACGCTCATTTCAGAGAACCACATAGTGGTCAGGGGCATCAAGTGTAATTGTAAAAGTTTTCCTTCATGAATATTGGCAATTTAGAATTGAAATTATTTAGGCTTTAAAAAGCTGGCAAACAGTGCTTGAAACTACTTTCCCCAAAGAACAGAGAAGACGTGCAGATGGTTATATGGCACCAGTTAAGTCGGTTTTAAAGTTTCCTTTCCAGAATCTATGGTGATATTTAGAGTAATGCTGCACTGCGGCATAAACTCATTTAAAACATATGCATTCCAAGAATCACAGGAAACCTAGGTTGGAAGGGATTCTGGAGATTATCTGGTCCAACCTGCTGACAGCAGGACCTTAGATTAGGTTGGTAATATTTAATAAATTATAAATTGGGAACTTTTGAGTTATAATTAAGGTTTTGTCAGCATATCTATGAATGCAAACTTCCTTAACAGACGTTGCCAAGACAGCTTCAATGTGTGTGTGAACCTATGGCACGATGCTTCATGCACCCTGTGGAGGAACTCATCAAGCCTTGGGCTGCTCAAAGCTCCCTCCCTCCCTCTCTAATCACTTGACAGGCACATGCCCTGGAACTGGGGCTGGAAAGGAGAAGGGACAGAATGAAGGACACAGAGAGAGAGAGGTCTGAACGGGGTGTTCAGCAGCAGTTACACAGGCAGTACACTGACTCCCAGGTGTACACAAGCGACACATTCTGCCTGTGAGTCCATCACCAGCTACCAGGTGAACCCTTCTGTTCATCACAGCAAGTTCAAATGATGACGACAAAAATCAGCCTGAGAAATTCATATTAAGAGCTCTCCATTAGCATCATATTCCAAGATTAGGACTCTTCTGTTTTAAAAAAGGTGACATGGACAAAACACTAAGACATAAAACCTGGAAAAAGTTTTAAAATCCTTTTTAACAGTCTACGCAATCTTAAAAAGGCAAGTAAACCTCTGTGAAGTTCCCATGTATCAAAACTAGATCAGCTGATTTGGTATTTAACGAGTTTATTTAGACATACCCCCCAGAACACCTAAAATTTTCTGTGACCTTTGAGGAGCTCAGCATTCTACATAGCTGTATTTGCACAGTTGTGGTTGTATGGCTTTTGATGATTATTAAATCTATAGATTTTTGGTAAGATTATTTTAGTCTCTGTTATCATTGTGTAAAGCTCCAAGCAACTCTGACTCTTGAGGAATTCAAAATTTCTATTATGACATTGTCAGATAACAGTGGTTGGTTTTTTTTTTAAAAAAAAAAAGTGATAGCTTTGCAGTATAAACAGAAAAATAGCCAACTAGCACTTCGTGTTGGGGGCAGAGAACATGGAGGAACACTGTAAAGCCAGGGAAGGAAGCAATCACAGTACGAGAAATTCTTAAGTAAGGAAAAGGAGCCAGAGCCTGATGGAAATTTGCTAAAAAGCCCACGTTCTAGATAATATTTACTTTTTCAGGCTTCCAGGAAGTACAGCTTTTCTGAATCACCACATCATTAACATCTACAAAAGATGCTGGAGTTCCTGAACTAGTTCCATACCAATAGGCATGGAATATGCATAGATCACACTAAATGCGGCATAGAAAGAGAGAACTACCAATAACATAAAAGTAACAAGACCGCAGGAAACGCTGTGCCAGGCAGAGGTAAACCACAGAAACTAAAAATTAATGCCTAGATACACTGGCAACTTTTTACTGTGGATTCCTGTCCTTCTGAATGATACCATAGCAGCAGTATTACTCAACACATTCTGTATTAGGTTTCCACTAGTTTTATATTGCTTATATAGATATCTACATAACCAGCTTTCAACTGGTTACATTCCCTGAGAGACTAAGAGGAAAGGAAACATCTGATTTTCATTAAGATCTATTTGAAAGATATCACATATAAAAGCAATTACTTACTGTTATGGGTGAGCTTCAGTAACATCCAATACCACCCCCAAGTATAAAGCTCACATTATGTCCTATTTTGACTATACAGACAGAACAACATAGTTCCACTTTCAAATAATTTACAATTTAAATAGGGCAGATTGAAACCTAGTATATACACTAAGTGACATGAAACTCCATACCGTGCATAGCATGCTTTGGACCAGAGAGAAGTTTCACCAAGGCCCAGAAGGCATCTTCTTCATTCATGTACATAAGGAGTAAAGCTGTGATCTGGCTCATTCCCTGACAGTATCCAACTTCCTAAAAATCAGACAGTGAAAATATTAAAATGCTGAAGAAAAAAAAAAAAATCCTCATAACCATGAGCTTTTAGTTCTTCCTTGAGCTAATGGAGGAAAGAGGATGCCTGTCCTGATGGTGCAAGTTCCCCAATTATGGCACCACCAAACACAATATTTATTAAATGTTTGAAATATTGACAGATGGAAGGGAAGATGCACAACCCTCCAACTGAGAGGTAAACTGGAAGTCTTGATTTTTCATTAGAACTCTCTACTGACACACAAAATCCCTGTCAGTACTAATAATTTCAAGTAACTGTATAACCTTATTCTCCAGATGGATGTATTTTCCATTTAGCTGTAATTTGGGTTTTTTGCAGGGGGAGGATCTCACTTTGTTTTGCTTTACAATCAGGGCACCACCTAATAAACATAAGACTTTGCAAGAGTGACCTATAACTGCAAACCTGCTCAAGTTTAGCAGCCCATAGCAAGCACACGTAATAACCCAAAGATAAAAAAAAAATTATTGTTCTAAAACTGAGCTTGTGTATTTCCTCTGCTATTAATTTTGACTTTTATGGCAGGAACCAACTGTCACTATCATTTAGCTGCTCAGATAACCCCACTGATAAAGTATTTGTAAGGACAACGACTTAATTGTTGAATAAGTTTTTTCATGTTTATGAGTTCTTAACAGAACTATGCTCTAGAGATAAAATCAAAGCATAAGAACTGCTATACATTAAGAGGAAAAATGCAACAACATAAGTACAAAATAAAAACCTCGCTGCAGCATTCCTATAATTACACTGTACAGCTGATTTTAATCAATATTTTTCATGCAACTTGAAGACATTAGTCCAATGTTCTGTAAGAGATATATAAAGGCCCTTCCAGAGTTTTATTTCTCAGTGTGTCAAGGCTGCTTAAACTGAAAAGCTTAAGACAATGTAAAAAGTGAAAGACAATGAATTCCAGCAATGTATGGGCCAACAATTGCAAGGAGACAGAAACCAAAACAGGACAGAAAGGTTGCATTTCCTAGAACTTTGAAAAATGAAACAAAGTGGTATTTAGTTGGAGTAACTGCTTAATTTCACTTTCTTCTTCTTAACTTTACATATTTTTACATTGAATGTTACATTTTATATCCATCAGCAGCTGCTGATGGATATAAAATGAAAGATGTACAAAAATGATCAAAATGGGCACAATAAATGAGGGGATAGTGCATAAAAAAAACCCCAAACAGTTAAATGTGGACAAGATAGCATTTCTGTTTCTTCTATTTTTTGCATGCAGCCAAAAGACATTATAAAACACCTAAGTGTCTAACGCTTATGATACAGTCTGGAAACCCCACTCTAACAAATCCTCATCCAGGACTGCAGCCAAGACTGAGGGCTTAAGTAAAGAAGGTGCAACCTTTAAAACCATTTTCCATTTGTTAGACCCCTCCAGGTTATGAAATACGCCTGTTTAATCCAACATGCATCTTTCTGCAGACTGTTTTCATTCCCATCATTCAAATGAATGTGAGGCACATAATATAAAGGGGGAAAAATATCAGTAGCAGCACAAATTCATCACTCTTATTAGATACAATACTTAGCTTCGGTCAAACTGTATGCACAGTTCAGTCTGTCCAATAAGATACCCATAATCAAGTTGCTTTGTTTTATTTTAACTTCAGCTCCAAACATGTCAACAAACAAACAATTTATTTCTATGTACTTCCAAAGGTCTCTGAAATGTTTGTGGTTTTTTTTATTTAGGGAGAAAGTTGTTACCTTATGGCATGTTCAGAGAAACCATATGAAGTGTGGTATACAACTTACCGTATTATATATGGAATATGCAGCTAAAACATGGAATAAAGATTGTTGCCTGGAGAAATAAGAGTAGAAAAGGAAAATACTATAATATTGTCTTTTGTAAAAACAGAAAAACATAAAAGTAGTGAACTATGTTTTGGAAACATGTTTCCCCAATTTAACTTGTCTGGAACTGAAGAACAGGACAAACCATGCTTTACAATGTTATGCACTTCTGATTTTAAACCAACATTATATTTAGCACTTTTCTGATGGTTTACACGTTGAAAGGTTTCAAAAAATACCTTTAATACTTTGAGAAGGCAATGATGTCAGATCATCATTTTTACTGATGGGTAAAATGAAACATAGAATGTGCTACATTTCAAACACTGATTTATTCTGAATGCCAAACTCGAAACACCCCAGACCTGATTTCTGTGCTTGCAGAGTACTAACAGCTGTTACTAATTTCAAACAGAGACACAGAAGAGTTGAAATACACAAAGCAGCCACAACGGTGTCTTAATCTTGGCACCCAAATTAAAGGCTGCTTTAGTGATTGCTACTGTCAAACTGAAGAAAACATCAACTCGGATTTGTGTCCTATGCTCAGTCCTCCAGAGTATACTGATCTCCAGGTACTTTAGAGTTAGAATTACAAAAACCTTTCTATAGGTCCTTTTCTTTCGGTAAAAACAGTATAAAACCAAAACCAAACTCTGCTCTTCTCCATTCGGGATACCGAAGTAGTGGTGGAGAGCTCTCATAATGAATTTCTAAACTCATATCTACTTTTTGCAATTTGTTGGAGAGAGATTTTGGAAATCTGAATGCCTGCTTTCATCTACAAATAAAACTGCTAAAATTTAACTGCTGAGTCGTGTGTACTGTCCTTTTTCTGTCCAGTGAAATTCCCTCTGCCTGTCACTAATCAAATGTGTAGAAATAGATATTAGCAGGTTAAAAAAAGAAAGAATAAGGATAAAGCTGCAGGTTTTCTATTGGGAAGCAGATGCATATCTGGAGAATTTTGCCAAAACATCTAGATTATGGCATTTTTGTTTGCTCTCTTGCAGAACTGAAGCTTAGCTGTTCTTCAGTAAGCAAAGTAAAGTGTAACTTAAAGTACTAGATATTAAACTGGAGTCTTATTTTACAAGGACAAACTCAAAGGTCCCAAATGTACGCAGGAACCTTCTATATGTTCAGCTGGCCATATGAAATGCAACATAAGAGCTCAATCTCATTCACAGCAAGATACATAAAGTAATGGCAATTTTAATACTATTTACTCTAGATGATACCACTAAAGACCTGTAAAAGAATGAACATTTAAAAGACATACAGTCTACTTAAAAGTCAAACAAGCTATTGATTTACCCAAGGGACTTTATTTCATTGCTATGTGAAATGATTTCTGAATTTTTCATTGAGGCATCACTGGAAGTGCATAATATATGTACAGTAATTCCAAGATCTATTCCAAGTGTGAAATTGCTTTATGCAGCCAAAGGCTTTCCTGTGGACTCCGAGGGCATGCTCAGGGACTGGAGCTGGCTCTGCTTGTGTTAACCCTGAACTGATGGGGTAGCAAGCTTCTGCTAGCACCTAAAATGTGTGCGCGAAAGCTAACTGAGGCCCGACAGCAACACAGCCATTTTTGCATGGCACTGTGTCAGTACCATTGAGGGGCGAGGCACGTCCGCTCAAGTGTAGATAGCACTGAGCAAATATATCTAAACTACAGTGACTACACAGAATAGCTCTCAGCTTGGGAATTTTTGCTTTGTACTCCATCCTGGGTTGCAGCCATCAGAGAGTTTCCTCATATTTAGAATTTGTGCACAAAATACCTAGAATAATAATATAAGAAAATGTTTGTTTTATTATCACATAAAAGTCCACAGCTCTTTTGAGTATTGCTTTTTTGAAAATAGCAGACTACCGTAGAATCTGCCTTGGAAAGAAAAGGAGATTAAAAACTGAACTAATACAGTCACAGAAGGGAAAAAAAAACCCTCTTCATCTCAGCAGGGTGCTGATGCTGCAAGCTAGCAACAATGCTGATGTTTGTATCGCCACTTATTTCACTATGAAGCATTTTTAAAGATGACAGCTGCCTAATATTCCTCTTCCAATGACAGTGAAAAAAACAAAACAAAACACATTTTGAAGAAATCCAAAAGCATTAAGGCCTACATTTGTAAATAATTAAATGCTCACATCTAAAACACTGTTTTATTTGGTTCTGAATTAGATACTAGGAAAAGAGGAATATAAAATCCAAAGGAAGGCAAAAATCTCTGGAAAGATTAAGTTATTAGAGATGCAAAAAGTTATTTTGTTTTTGAAAATACACAGTTAAATAAAATGATTGGGTAATAAATCTATAACTAATGTATTAGCTTGGAATTCCTATGCTTATGTATTTACAATATCTGAGAGGTTTTTTTATTAAATAGGAAATAAGATGAGAACAGTTTAGAAATGGTTTTCTTTGGAATGCTACTGACCACCTTGTAGTGACGGAAAACTTGTTGGTTGGAAGTGACCATCTGGTTTTGCTGAGTAATGGTAATTACATCATTGCACACAGACAATCCTGCTTTGAAAGTTGGGGGCTTACATTCAATACTCTTGCATAAGCCAAAGAGGCTTGAGGCATATTGGAACCTAGTTTTAAGACAAAACAAAACCTTTTAATTTACTTACTTAACACCGTATCTGTCTCGAAACATGATATGATCTCTGTAGGTTCGATTTACATCAAGATCAATTTGCCTAATATCTGGTGAAGACCCTCGTGCTTGACACTTCAATTTCTAGGAAAACAGTAAAGAAGAGAAATTAAGTTTAAAATTGTGAGCGCTGAAATAGCTGAAACTTGCCTGACTGTACACCTACACTGAAGTATTTGCCATCTCATGATTTAGAACACTTAATATAGAATAGCAACTCACAACAATCTTAACTTCCAAAATATGCATATGCATATATGTATTCTACAGAGTCAGGCACATGCACACAGTACAGATTTAAAAAGCCTAATCCCGTATTACACATTTTTGTGGCACACCATTCACTACCCATATTCAAGGCTATGTTTCAACAGTTTAAATTTCTAATTGCCATTTCTCAAGCAGGGACATCACTGGAAGAAGACAGAAAGTGAGTTTTACTACTCGGGAACAAGAACCTAAGATGCAAGTGCTCCAGAACGGACTGTAAAAACAGTTTAAATTGTGAAGGTAGTAAGACAAAAAAAAAACAACCCCAAAACCCCACACCACCCAAATCCCAAAAACAACCCAAAAAACAACCCCAAAATAAAACAAAACCCTGCTCTTCTCCAGTCGGGATACCAAAGTAATGGTGGAGAGCTCTCATAATGAATTTTTAAACCCACACCTACTTTTTGCAATTTGTTGGGGAGAGAAATGATTTAGTGTGGTTTTCATACTTTTCCTGCCTTTTCGTCTAAGTAGAAATAATAGCTACATAGCTGCCAGTTATTATCTAAGTATAGATAATGGACATTTCTATAGTCATTTCCTCCGTTTTTCTGTTCTAATCTAATTTAGTTGTAGAATACCTCTACTTTAGCACTTGCTTTAACGTTTTATAATTAAATCCAATTTTGTAATTGAATACTTAAGAAGCCTGCACAGGTTAGATTGCCACCTTATTTTTTGAACTTACAATAATTTTCTCTTGACATTCATTCATTCATTCCCACTTCTGTCCCTAAAAGTTGAGCTTGCAAGACATTTCTAACTGGATTCAACATGGTATTTTCAAACATTACATTTGAGTAGACATTATAGAGAATACCACAGATAATCAAAAGGCAGAACTCTACTGATTCTGGTTGAAAGAAAACAAAATGGCTTAAAGACAAAATTACAAAAATAAAGGGGTCTAACAGGGAACAGTAAGATCCATTCAGTCTGTTGAATACAATTAGAAGATTCAGGAATATCAGGTATTACTTGTAAATCAATGAACCAACTGGTAGCAGCCATTAACCAGCACAATGCTAACCACAATCTCAGCTTGGTGCACCTTTCAGTATGAAGTACTAACGTCTGGAATGATTTGTCCCCCAGACAGAGAGAAAAGAAGGGAATCGAAAATTTATGGGTTTAAGGTAACACGAGTACCAAGAGCCTATGATTTTTTGAGATATAGGAAAAGAAGCACCCTGACTCCTTGCCATCATGGGAGCCTCTAACATGAGTGAAAAGAAAGGGTACCTAGAGTTTGAGAAATGGAAAGAACAGAAGATTAAGAACTGTAATTACTCTGCACAGACGACTGAAGGAAGCTGTCTGACCTACAGCAAATGCGGATATTTCCCTTCTAATTTTAAGGTGTGCAATTTGTAAATGATACTCGTAATGAGGAGTGTTAATATCACTTCAGGAAATGTGCAAACCAGAGAGCAGTAAAATGAGCTTTTTGCATATAAAGAAGCTAGGATAACGATGGAAGAAACTCTACTTCTATATCTGAACTACAAAACCTTTTTTGTTTTGCACTAAGCACTAGGTGGCATTAATCGTCTCTGAAGATGAATTCACCTCTTTCTAAATGCTTCTAGTTTTACTCAGTATTCTTTCCCACAACTACATTATTCAGCATGAACTCTGTTTCATCCCTTTTGGATCTGCCACTAGTCCTACTTACAAAGTTAAACAAAATACAATAATCAGAAAAAGCAGCCTGTCAGACTAAAGAGTGATAAATAATTTGAAAGCAAGATCACAGACACCAAAATTCAGATAACATCAGTGTCAACACTGATCTTCTTTCATGACCTTACACGACTCCTGGTCTACTCAGACCCAAAGTCTCAGCTCCTAAAAAGGGCTATTAGAAAATGCCAAAATCAAACAAGCCATGCATTTCCTTGAAACGCTGGACATCACTTCTGTCAAAGGCAGTGAACATTTAAATTCCTGTGGGGAAAATTTCAAACGCTCTACAATACTAAATTGCCTTTCTGTTAGCTAAGCCCCCCCTATAATCATTTAGGAAAGAGAGATACAGAGAGGAAAAGACAGAATTTTAAAGGATTTAATTCCCCTTCTGCTTAACTTACTAGCCTGCACATGAACCTCACTTTCCATTCCTGGGTCTGAAGTTTAGCTCTGATGGCCATCAGCTGTATTCACACCCACAGAAAAAGTAGTTAGTAGGGAAAAAATTAGAGGAACATAACCACAGTAATTCAGAGGTTGCTTTCTTTAACTGCTACTCAAGGCGAGGATAGGGGCTGGGGGGGAAAGACATAGCTATTTTCTTTATAGTCTAAGTAGAAGATATGCTTAAGTGGTCGATTTATGCCTGTAGAATTTTGTGGGGTTAACAACCTATCATCAGGCGCACCTCTGAGAATACAATCAAGTAACCAGACAGCGCTTTGTAAGGGATGTCTAAGCTCCACTTGGAGATGAGATGGCAGAAAGATAGCCACCTTGTTCTGGCTTTTACAAGATTAAGGCACCAATCTCCACCCCCTCCAGAATACTGGAACCCCTCTTACTGATACTCAGCTAACAAGGTGCTTCCTTGATAGACATTTCTCAAAGAGCTGTACTTTCAGAGGTTTCTGTCTTCTTACCAGGACAGGTTTTTTTTTCTTATTTTGTTTTGCTTTGCTTTTAGAAGGGCTTTTACAAGTATTTGAGGGTGCAAAAAGAAATGGAAAGAAGATCAAATTAATTACATGAATCGCAGAACCAAAAAATAAGCTGGAAAAGTGCTTTTCAATACATAGCCTTTTTCCTAGCTAAAACAAGCAGTAGAGTTCAATGCAATTTCTAATCCTTCTTTTTTTTTTTTAAACACTGTATAACAACAAAAGCTTAATAAAGCCCGTAGTCTTAGTACCCGATTTTTTTTTAATTAAGTGGAAAATCTACAAACTCACATTATAAAAGTCTTTCATTTCTTCTTTCATTTTAGGGACGTCAAGTAGTAAAGACCAGACTTGCCCTCTGAACTGCAGTGGGATTCCTTTATAAATTCTCCTATGAAACTGTAAAAAGAAAAGAAAATACAAATGCAGTACAATCTACAATGTTCTGAACAAGAGGAACAGTGATACACAACATGCTAAAGAGAAAAATGCAATTATATCAATTGTTCTAGCAAAGGGAAGACCTGCTGGGGACAAAGTGTTCCGGTGTCTTTTGAGGGACTGAAAGTGTCCAGTGATGCCACCCGGGACCCCTGTTGATGGAATCAGCAGAGAAACAGGGACCAAAACGGACACACAGGCCAAAACATCACTGTGTGCAGGTGATGCTTACAAGCTAGGACTTTGGCATGTAGGAAGGCCTATCAAAATTGTATCAATCATACAAATATTGGGAAGACTACTCCAAATTTTGTCATTTAGACCCCAAAAAATCAGATTCTTAGCAACACAATATTTCAGGACAAGCCACAAATAACTCACTGTAATTACAGACTGTAAATGGGAATGGTGAAAGGCAATCAGCAATATCACAAAGCTTTAAAAATTACCAGTACAAAAATAAAGCATAACATATTTTTGAATTCTAGTAAAACAACAGCATGCTGAAATGTATCTATGCACACCAAACACACACAAGATCACAAAATAAAACAGAATGTGCCATTTCTAAAGCTAACAGATTTCAGTTCATATTTCTAAACCAATAATCATTTTACTAAATGCAGATTAAAACATTTGCACAAAAACAACGTATAAAAGATATTCTAACTGCTGTTTCTAAGAATACAGAACAACATACCAACACTGCATGCAATTTTTAGTTGTGAAATAGAAAATTAAATTCCCCATTCCTGACACATTCTGTTCTGACAGGAAGCTTGTATTAGAAACAGGTCAGAAAGGGGTAACTCAGTACCTGTGCACAACTAGAGTCGTTACATAAAGTATCTATCAGTCTTGCCTCGGACATGTCACTGCTCTTGCACTCTCATTCAGTGGTTTGGTTCTTAGTGGGCTTATTTGAAAAAAAAAAAATCAGGAGCACAGACAACTGCCTTCCTCAGTTCTCTTCTGATTTGTATCTCTTTATGCTGCAGCATTTAGGAGCACAAAGAGCCTCTAAACAGAGAAAGATGGACTAGCTGTCTAAAGGCTTGGCTTTACGCAGCCAGGAGAGACTCAAGATAAGCAAAGCCTCAGAGCAAATGAATCCAAATAATCCTAAAAACACACAAAAAAATGTTATCATCTTTCAGAAGACATGTCTAAGAAAAGGAAAACCAGAAAGAAAACTCTAACAAAGAAAACGAACCTTTCAGAAGTTGTGTTTTTACCATTATTTTAATGATGGCACAGGGAGACAATTAGATTTAGAAGAGAACAAAACACACACAACCCCTCCCCAAACCATTTATTCTTTGTGTTTAACCTACAATGGAAGTTAGGCTTTAAAAATTTCAATTGACAAAGCTATCACTTCCTTGAAACATTTGTAGAAGTTATGTTTGTAACCTAAGAAATATTTTAAAAGAAATGTCCTCCTCAAAGACAGGATCCTTTTTTCTTTTTCACATATTTCACATCTCCAGTTCTGGAAGATTAATGAACCCCTCATTGCAGTATATTTGCAAAACTCCTGCTGTTTGGGATACATCAGATCTCTGAAGGTGTCTTTAATGCCAGCAAGGATTCGTGTCTGGATTTTAGAATGTATAACTCTTACACAAGTAAGGTCACGACTTTTTTTTCCTGTCCCCTTTTCAAATGAAAATTTTAAACTTGTACAAGATGCAACACCAAACCTGGAAACTGCCCACAAAGAAAATGTGCTTTTTAAAGAAAACTTTGCTGCTTTAATATTATTAAGAATGCTAAAGCAGCAAGAAGTTATGTCAGTACAGTTTCTTCTGTAAGGATAAAGAACAACATACAGTGCTATAAAGCACCCTTCTCCGTAGATGTATATCCAGACTTCAGCTCACACAGAGAATTTCAGTGTGTGTCAACCCAGACACAAGGACAACTGCTTGCGACAGAGAGGATAATTCAGTCTTTTAAAAGCCAACCATCACCAATTGCAGCAGAGTCATCCTGAGAAGAGATTAGTCTGGAAAGCAGAATGAGCCAAATTTGTGAAATCTTTTCTGGGAACTTGAAAGAAAAAAAGTAGAAAAAAAAGAGAAGCAGTGTTATATGTCCCCAGTGGCATGTAGCTGTATTCCTCAGACCCGTGGTACAGTAAACAGCGTACCTTGACAACAAACATTTTTTGCTAGTTAATTATAATTTTGTAACTCATTTTCCAATGTCTCCAACAACCATAAGGTTATTAATGAAGAAATCCGGTTGAAGAATAAATTCTCAAGACTACTGTTGGTTGTTCTAGGTGAATGTTTTGGGAGAAGGTCAGATGGACATCAAAGGCCAGAAATAAGGCTTTGTAATAACAGGTTCTTATCAAAATAGAATTAAAACAAATTCAAATCATCCAAAGTGTGGGGTTGTTTTGCGTTTTTTCAGGAGATAAAACTGAAGGAAAAGAACAACCAGTTTCAGAGGAGTCTATGGCATTTACAGTTTTCCCACCTTCTGCACTTCCCAGACTGAAATAGCCAAATACCAGTAGAATCCTTGAAGTAGTAAGTAAAAACTGAGATAGAGAATTGTGGAAGCTCTTTTAAAAGAAAATGTTGAAAATTGAGTTGGCAAATATAACTTTAAAAAGAGCAGAAAGGACAGAGACACCAGCACTGTCATCAGCCCACTGCAATTATGCCAAAAAAAAAAAAAGAGAAGGAAAACAAACATTTTCAGTAGCTAAGATCAGAATAATTGCGCTACCTGACAAAATAAACTCAAATTACATTCGGAGCTTCTTGCAAACCATTTTAGATCTGTATCCAGCTGACTCTACTGTTCCAACTATTATTTTATTTAGGCAGAGAAAAAAAAGCTCTCAGTCATTCCAAGTAGTTACAAGATCCTGCCTAGAGACTCAGCAGAACACAAGACTAAAGACTTTCACTGTCTGCCCAGCGTATGAGAGAGAAATGTAACTCAAGAACAGAACCCTTCATGGCACAGGCTCCATTACACAAATGATAACACAGAAACAAGTGTGAATAATTTTAGATACAATGGAAAACTGAGGAGTAGCCGATACACCAGGGGGTTGTGCTCCCACCCAGAGGGACCTCTACGGGCTGGAGAAACAGGCTGATGGGAACCTCATGGAGTTCCACAAGGAGAGGTGCGAAGTCCTGCATCCACGGAGGAACCCCATGCACCAGTACATGCTGGGGGCTGCCCAGCAGGAAAGCAGCTTGGCAGAAAAGGACCTGGGGGTAATTGAACAGGAGCGAGCAACGTGCCCGTGCTGCACAGAAGACTAATGGTATCCTGGGTTATGTAAGATAAAGTATTGCCAGCAGGTTGAGGGAGGTGATCCTTCCCTTCTCCTCACCAGTGGTAAGGCCACACCTGGAATACTCTGTCCAGTTCTGGGTTCCTCAGTACAAGAGAGACATGGACATACTGGACAGAGTCCAAAAGGCTACAGAGATGAAGGGACTTGACCATCTCTGCTGTGAGGAAAGGCTGAGAGAGCTGGGACTGTTCAGCCTGGAGAAGAGAAGACTCGGGGATCTTATCAATGGACACAAGTACCTAAAGGGACGATGCAAAGAAGATGGAGCCAGGCTCTTTTCAGTGCTGCCCAGTAACATGACCAAAGGCAATGGGCACAAATTGACATACAGAAGGTTCCCTCTGAACATCAGGAAACACTTTGTCACTGAGGGTGACAGAGCACTGGCACAGGTTACCCAGGGAGGCTGCAGAGTCTCCATCCTTGGAGATACTCAAGAGCTGTCTGGACATGGTCCAGGGCAACTGGCTGTAGGTGGCCCCACTTGAGCAGGGGTTGGACCAAATGACCTCCAGAGGTCCCTTTCAACTTCAACCATTCTGCAGTTTTCTGAAAACAACACAGCCGCACTGCATCTCGGGGCAGGGGGCACAGGGTGGGGGGAATCCACACATACTTCACAGCAAAATTAATTTCTGATAATCAGTCACCAAACAATTAAATAAAATATAAATGAGCAAACTGACTATTAGCTACCTGAATATCTTTACCACAAATACCATACTACTGCCCTCTGCTGTCTTTTATTTCCTTATGTAACATAAGGTTAATAATATGTTGAGAAATGCTGGGTTGCGTCTAGATATTTGCAAAACCCTAATATACTCTTCTGTTCTCTCCAAATTACTAATTCAAATAATAAGAAAATTCAGCAAGTTACTTTACTTTTTCTTCTGCTTCTGGGGAGATGAAATAACGAGTTGATCTTCAACAAATTCTTTAAAATTAACGCTTTCTTAAAGTAGTAGCTCAAAACAAAATACAAGTATATAAACTCAGAGTTCAGATAATTATTTTATGAAAACATGCATCATTCAAAGAATGGTGTTATGGAATCTGGGACATTTCCATCAGCATAGGACATAGAAAAAAGAAAGTCATCCTCGGAAGATATAACCATATAAACACAAACTTAAATAAAAACACAGGTTCAACTTCTGTATCACCTTTAAGCTGATATTCAACCAAGGACAGTTGTCATAAACTCTTACAATTACTACTAATGTTGTTGATCCTGAAGTAGATAGGACAAGTGGACACTAGATGAAGCCCTACCACCTAGGAATTCAAAAGGAGCTTCTTATGCAAAAAGAAACTGGACCTGTAAATTGGACCTTCCCATTGTGAAAAAAAGAGAATATAAAGAATGAATTAAAAAGCTTACAAAGAAGGAAGAAAAAACCAACACTCTCAAATTTGGAATATTCCAAATTAGCTATCATCTCAACTAATGAACAACATTCAATGTGGCTTCCATGTAAAAAACCTGGAACACATAAAACCTCCCCTTCCTTCCCCTGCCCCAGTCTCTCCAGCTCATAAACCCAACTGGCTCCTGGACAAGAAATGAGGCCACTATCACACAGCACTAGTCGGAAGAGTAGGAACTGGCATTCTTGCTGCTGCAAGA